AGGGGAGACGCAGGGGCGGGAGGAAGGTGGAGCTGCTGTGGGCCGAGCTGGGGACAACAGCTGCGCTGCCCTGGGGGGTGGGGGTGCAGGGTTCCCCAGAAGCACTCAGAGGGACTGCAGGGGTGGGCAGGCCGGCAAGGAAGATGGAGAACAGATTCATTTCTTTACTTCAGGAGTCTGTATACTACTTGAATTTTGCAGCGAGTGTTACTTTCATAATTAAAGGACTGAAAACCTAAAAGCAAAGAACCCACCGCCTTGGGTAAGCGATACGAGGTAAGAGCAGAGATTTGCCCACAAGATGCATAATGTTCATAACTGGAAACATCTGGAAACAACCTAAATATCCAAATAGGGGATTGCTTAAATAAATTAACAGGGCATAGGAAAAAATATTTTTAAAGACCTGGGAGAAACATATTGTTGCATAAAAAAGCAGGTAACAGCCCTGGCCAGGTGGCTCAGGTGGTTCGAGCATCCTCCCTGCACCAAGAGGTTTTGGGCTCCGTTCCCGGTCAGGGCACTTACCCAGGTTTCGGGTTTGAACCTCCATTGGGGCGAGAGTAGAGAAGGCAACCTCTTGATGTTTCTCTCTCACATCAATGTTTTCTTCTCTCTCTCTCCCCCTCCCTCTCTAAAATAGTCAATAAAACATATCCTTGGGATTAAAAAAAAAAAAAAGCAGGTAAACCAACACACAGTATAATCCTCTTTTTCAAATAAAAAACTCTGTGTGTGTGAAGACTAAAATTAAATATAAAACATGAACAGATGTTAGTTCTACATGGTGGGATTTGGGATAATTTTTACAGCTTAGCTTTTCTTTAACTGAATTTCCTCCAAACCTTATTTTCTGACTGCTAAGTTAATTCTGCTTGCTTTTAAAAAAGTTTCCTTTAATGATTCAGTAATCATGAAGCATCAGATTTCCCAGCCCTTACCCCCACACACACACTCCCTGGTCCACTGGGGTCAAGGGCACAGGCTCCTTCCAGCACAGGCCCTGTCCAGGGCCCACTGCCAGCCTCGACCTCCCCTCCCAGGGGCCCAGGTCAGCTCCTTGGCCTGAGCTTGGGGACAGCTTGTGGGGCCACATACCTGTGTCCAATCTCATGGGCAATGGTGACCCCCAGGTCGAAGCCGGTGTCTTCAGTGATGAGGCAGCTCCATGAGGAGGAGCAGGCGCCCCCCAGCTGGGTGACTCCCCGAACCTGCCGGTTACCATCAGGCAACTCCAGGTCAAACCTCAGGAACAGAAAATAGACAACTGGGCAGTGCTGAGGTGCCTGCCTGCCACCCGGGCCACCTGTGCAGGGAGCAGGAAGGCCAAGGGAGCAGCTCCCAGCAGGCTACCTGGTGATGTAGAGGACCAGGTCAGCATGCCCGGGGTCCCTGTCGTCCTGGGGGTTGACCGTCCTGCTCCATTTGCAGACGCTCAACAGTGAGGAGGTGATGTTGGTTGTGATGTTTGGAGCATCCTGGGGGAGCAGTGGCAGAGCCTGCATTTACTGGACCCACACCAAGCAGGGTGCTGACTGCTGCAGGCCTCAGTCCCCATAACGACCCTGTTCCAGTCCCACGTTACAGATGAGGAGACAGAGGCTCAGCAGTGCCAAGTACGGCCACAGCTGGGATCCGGGTCCAGATCTGGCTGGAAGCTCTGCCATCACCCAGGCTCTATGGCACCAGGTAGAGGGTAAACAGGACAGAAACGGGTTTTCCAGAGACCCTGGGCTTCCAGCTCGGCACCCACCTCGGGCTGCGTGAGGATGATCATCTTTACCAGGTGCACTCGGAACTGAGCCCCCAGGGATGGGTCCCTCAGCAGTTCCGACCCCTGTGGAAGGGCAGGTGGGAGAGGTGAGACGTGGGTGGGGGTAGCCGGTCCCCAGCAGCTCCTGACTTCCAGGGACCACTGGGGAGAGGGCCTGGAAAGGATGGTCCCTCAGCATGGCTCGGGGGTGCACCCAAAATGCTGGTCCTTGAGCTGGGAGACAGCCAGAGGGATAGGCAGATGTGCTCTGGCCCTCCCCTTGCTCATGGCGTCGGGAGCCCCTCTCCCCTCGCCCAGCGCTGCCCGGCGGAGCACTCACCATGTTGAGGTTGGTGAGCACGTACCGCTCCGTGTCCTCCTGGTGAGCCTGGTAGACATCAGGGCCTACGGCCACCAGCAGCTCCAGGTGCAGGACGCTCCCCTCCACAGCGTGTCTCCGGAGGCGAGAGGAAGGAGGGCCTGGCAAGGGACGAGCAGGCGAGCTGAGATGGAAGTTTCTAGGTAGCAGGTGGACTGTGGCTTTAGCTGCCCGGTCAGCCGTCCTGATGGCCCTCATGTTCCCCACGGCCAGGCCTCTCTGTCACCCTGTGCTCCTGGGCTTGGAGACACAGTGGCAGAGCCCTGTTTCTGCCACTTACCACTTAGGGGGCTGTTAGGCCTGATCCCCAGCTTTCTTGTGGGGATGTGGGGGAATATGAGAATACCTGCCTCCTGGGCACAGTGACAGCTGGGTGAGTGGCTGGCCCTGTGCCTCCCCCTCACAGCCCCACCTTGGTCTTCCTGGAGCCAGCCTCTCAGCATCCTCAGACACCCACGAACAGATTTAGGACATCTGTGTCCTCCCGACCCCTCAGAAGTAAACACGCTCAGAGGGTTGAGAGGTCCCAGGTTCTCACACGTCACTATATTGTGACTGTTAGAACTGGTGGCGCCTGGCCTGCTAACGGGAGAAGTTTCTGGGTCTTAGGAGGACAGCCTTCTCAAGACATCTCGAGGGCAGGGCTGAGCTCAAAGGACCTTGATCCTATTAGTGACTGGATATTTTGGGGCATGGATGACAGTGTGGGGCCTGGGCGGGAGCTATTGTGTGGCTTTTATGTCCTTCTGGTCACCCCAAAACCCCACACTGGGCATATACTAGAGAACAGGGTCACCCCGAGATGGCAAGTAAAGCCCAAGAAAGCATAACCCCTGGTCCTCCGGAAACATATGTCTCCCCCCAATGCCCCCACCCTCCTACCCACCCCCAGCACAGCCCCAGACCTTGGTCAGTGTGCATCTCACCACGGAGAGGTCAGTTACAATGGGACACCCCTAATTCTCTCGCCTGACCACTAGCCTACCCTGCCTCTGGTCCTCACCAGTCTTTTGATCCAAGTCACCAGTGTATCTACCAGGGAGAAGTGCATGGACACAGCCCTCCAACAACGGGGGAAAGGGTTTGGCTGGGACTGGACCCTGCGCCTACCCTGATTCTCACAGAAGAAATAAATATTTACATCCATGACCAGAAACCACAGGGCTCCTGAAAATCAGTCAGCTCAAGGGAGGCCCAGGAGCGGAAGGGGCCAGCCAATTAGTGACTGCGCTTGAGATACTGAGCAGAACCCCGGGGTCAGAACCCTGCTGGGTCCAGAACGCGCAGGAAGTAACAGAGTTCATTAGCGGGGCGGTGGCAGTGGCTCTGACCTCCTCCCAGCAGAGCCACCAAAAATCCCAGCTCCCTGAGTCAAGGGTGAGGTACCCCCAGGCTCGGGGAAACTCCCCTCGCCAAGAAATGTGAGAACAGGTACCTTTTAAGGTAGCACCAGGGCCTGAGTAAGAAGTCACTTCCCGGGGCTCCAAGGCCTGAAGAAATCCCTGCAGGAGAGAGGAAGACACACCAGGGAGGTGGGAAGGGGCAAAGGCGAGACGGGGGAGGGAACTCGGAGACCAGTGAGGATGGAGGGGTAGGGTCTGCCCTTCACCGGGTGAGCCGACAGTCCTGAGTCAGCACCTTCAGTGAGCACCCTGCAACCCCTGAAACCCCAGGCGCAGACTCCTCCACCCAGTGCGAGCCCAAAGCTGAAAGAACCCGCCCCCCTTCTGCTGGACGCAGCCACCTCTCCCCCCAGGGACCCGCTTCGGCACCCAGAAAACTCAGCTCCCCAGGGCTCCTGTACATTCACCCACCTTCTGAACATCGGGGAGTCCCCAGCAGCCCAGGAGGAGGACCGCAGAGGTGAGAATGCCCCACAGGAACGTCCCCCAGGGGTGAATCTCCCTCATCCTCAGCAAAGCCGGGGAGATGTCTGGAAATCAGGCCCGTGTGGAAAGCGACAGACCCCGCTGGGCGGGACCATCGGGCTGTTTACTCTTGGGAACTTCCTCCCGGCAGGGGCCTGGGGGTGGGCAGCCGGCTGCAGGCTCCTCCTGCTGCAGCCTGGGCCTTGGCTCAGAGCACCCACCCGGGCCTGCGCCCTGGCAAGGGGCTGGACCAAGGTGCCCAATCCCCAGGACGGAGCCCCGGCGCAGGGGCCTGCAGCTGTGGACACAGGCAGCACGCTGGGGCTGCGGGCTGGCTCTCACCAGCTTCCAGGCTCCGACAAGCTCTCTGCTGACACCTCTACTTTCCGTGACCTGTCCACTGTCCTCCCCTCATTCCCTTCCTCACCCGTGCTGCAGGCCCCCCACTACACCTCCTCACTCAGCCGTTGCCTATTCTGTGCCTGAGGCTCCCCTGCCAGAGCCGCACCCCCCTTTATCTTTCACAGGCATTCCACCCCGTCAACGCTGTGCTTCCTGCAGACCCAGACTGACACATGGCCCTAAGCCCAGCCGCAGCTCAGGGGTCTGGGCATCTGTAATTGGCTCCCAACTGGTCTGTGTTTTCTGTCTCACTCACTCCCCATCCCATTTCCCACAAAGAGCGGCAGTCAGGTGGCGTCACTCCCCAGCTTTAAAACAATCTCCCCTTTGCCCTGAGGATCAAGCGTCCAGACTCCTGCCTGCAGCCTCCCAGGCTCTATATTGCCCTCTGCCTGCATCGCCACCCTCCCCCTTTGCTCACAGAGCTTCAGCCCCGCCAGCCTGCTTTTCACCCCTCAAATACATCAAACGCTTTGCTGTCCCTCGGACCCCTGGCCTCTTATTCAGGTTTCAGCTCCAACGTCACCTCCCCAAAGAGGCCTTCCCTCAGGACCGCACCTAAGTGGCTGTCCAGGTGGGCTTGCCTTATTTAGAAAATAAAAAGCAAGACGGCCAGTTGAATCTGAATTTCAAGTTTATATATATATATATATATATATAATTATTTTAGTATAAGTATGCCCCAAATATTGCAACCACTGCATGGATGTATTTCCACTAAAAATTATCCTTTATCTGAAAGCCCTGTTTCTCGGGCCGTCCTGCGTTTTGTTTGGTAACCTAACCCCTGCCGACCTCTACTACATCTCCTGTTATCATCTCTGTTGATCACTACACAAATTATCGTGTTGATGCATTATCTGTGTTTCCCTGGAGGCCCCTCACACACACAGAGGCTCGGGTGGAAACTTTAGGGAAGCGGAGGCCTGATCCGCGTTGCTGTCCAGGTCTGGTCCCGGGCAGGGCGTGGAGTGCCCGCAACTTCTTATTCTCGTCACATAAAGCAGTAAATAGCGATTCTTACAGCGCTTTGCCATTATCGGGCATGGCCGCAGTGCCTCCGCAGCCCCGTGGCTCTGGTAAGCCGGGCTAAGGGGCCGGGGTTTCTCCTTCCCGCTCCTGGGCCTCAGTTTCCCGACTCCCCAGGTAGATGCCAGGTGAGGCTGAGCGGGGCGGGCACCGCGCGGGCTCCTCGAAGCCTGGCCGCCCAGCGCCCCCTTGCGGCCACCTGCGCCTCGGCGCTCTGCGGGCCCAGCCGCGGTGCTACCCCGACAGAGGCCCCCCCAGTTCCCTTCCGGCGCCTGCGTTTCTCATCCCCATCCCGGGTCTCGTGAGGTCCCGGGCTTACCCTAACCCAATCCTAGGTCGCCGGACCTGAACGCCGCTCGCTGGGGTAGCGACCCTTTGCCTGTGCGGGCGAAGAACCCCGCCTTGGTCCCCCGAGTGCGGAACTAGAGGCGAGGGCTCGGTTTCCAGTCGGTCTGGGAGAGAAGAGTACTTCCGGGGGTTGGGACGCACGTGTCGAGGTGAGCGTGGGGGCGCTTCCGGATTCGGTGGCCGGCCCTGGGGGCGGGTTTCCAGCCCGCTGGTGAGTTGGGGGGCCGGCCTGACCCTTCGCTGGGTCGGCAGAGCCCGGAGCCGGGGCCAGCGCGCCTCGAATGGGCGCAGGGCCGCGCTCGGGGAGGGCGGGGGGCTCCCTCTGCCG